ATATATATATATATATATATAGATATATATATATATTTACACACACATATACTGTCAATAACTGTTTAAGTTCTTGGGTAAAGGAAAAGATTTTCTCGATTTTGGCATAGTCTTCCCTGCAAGCTCATTTGATTGATCATTATTTACTGTGTACCTGTCAGAGATAAGCAGAGTACCAGAAGAAAGTTTAAGTATCCTGATTCAAGGAGTTGGCTCTTTTCTGTCAAACTGAATCAGAGAGATGGCAAATGAAGCATACCCAGAAAGCCGGGTGAGCTCTTGGCTTGGGAAAGCCTCTCTGATGGTTTGGACTGGGGAGTTATTCTAAGTAAATGACACAGTGTAAAGAAACCTGAAGGGAAGAGATCAATGAAGAAGAAAATTGATGGTGATCTAGAGCACAACCGTTGAATCAGCTACAACTTGGCTCAACTTTGGCAACAGAACTTTTCACGTGTACTTTTTCATTGATAACTGCAAGAGTAATCCTTCAGGGATGCAAATGAGATTAGAGGCAATGCATTACACAACACTAACATGGTAGTTTTTCTTCTTTCTTTCTTTTCTTCTTCTTCTTCTTCTTCTTCTTCTTCTTCTTCTTCTTCTTCTTCTTCTTCTTCTTCTTCTTCTTCTTCTTTCTTCTTTCTTCTTTCTTCTTTCTTCTTCTTCTTTTTTTAGTAGATAGAACCACCACAAAAATCATGGTGTTTTTCTTCATGTTCACTAGGAGCAATACTTGGGAGCTGGAAAGCAGTGTGTGAATACTGGGGACTGGAAGGACATAGGGCAAAGACCCGTTCATGTTTGAAGACATGTAAAAGATTGTGTACTTGTTTTACAGATACCATACTGAGACAAGACATGGAGAATGAAATTAGTTCTGGCCATGAGTTTCATTTGTTTATAGAAGAAAGGAAGAAAGAAAGAAAGAAAGAAAGAAAGAAAGAAAGAAAGAAAGAAAGAAAAGCAGTCAGTTAAAAGAAGGTCTTTAAGTCTAAGGGACTGATTTTGGGTCTTTCAGATAGATGGTGGTGAGTATTAACAACCTTCAGTAAATATTGCAATAAGAGAAAGATATAGCTGGGTGGTAGTGGTGCACACCTTTAATCCCAGTACTCAGGAGGCAGAGGCAGGCAGATCTCTGTGAGTTCCAGGACAACCTGGTCTACAGAGGGAGTGCCAGGACAAGCTCTAAAGCTACACAGAGAAACCTGTCTCAAAAACCCAGAGAGAGAGGGGGCAGGAGGGAGGAAAGAGAGCAAGCTTTTTTTTTCCTGTCTGATGGCAGGTACAGGAGAAGGCTGGGACCTGATATGTAAAAAGGAAGCCTTTTGCTTTAAAAATGGCTGACAAAGGCCATCTTTGACCTTTTAAGGCGCTAGTAAAATAGACAGAAGCTTGCACAAACCCTGTGCTACAGAAAAGAGGGGATGTTTGGGATAGGAATTCCATTTCCATGGTGAAGTCAATGTACTGACATCTGAGTATTCTGAATGGCAGTGCTTTCTTCTTCAGAAGTAACTGGAGAAAGTCTGAGCATCCTATTTATTAATCCAGGGGTGTGTACATCTGTGGCATTATGGCTTAGGATTGGTTTTATTCCTTTATCATCCTATTTATTCTCATCTTTTTGACTTCCAGAAAATATTCTTAACGACTATCTATGACCTACTGAGAGCATAATTAAGACTTTAGAGCAATTCAGCAGTCATGACAGGACTAGGAAAGTAGGCTTTCACAAAACAATTCTAATTCCACATGAATTCTCAGGCTGAACCTAACAGAGATCCCAGAATTCACAAACCATTTCCTCTAATCTGTTCCCATGGCTAGGATTAGGGGACAGGAATAGATTTTAACAAGAGAATATAGGTGTGAGAAGAAGGGTGTCCCTAGTCCGCGGAGAAGCAAATGAAAATTGTCCTTGGTCATGGTTTGGTACCAGGTGACATTTCCTCGTTTATCTCCCAATGGCTGAGGAACTACAGTGGCTCCCCAGCTTGCTCTGGAGGCAGTTTTCTTCCCTTCTTGCTGTGTCTACTACTCTGAGCTCTGACTTTTCTAGATGAAAGGGCATATGGCAGATGACTCTGGGATGCCTTTTGGGTACATTCAATCTTGGGGGATCTCAAGAAGCTCTAACTTATACCTGAGGAGAGGTATTCTGCTACTGGTCAGACGATCCCTAACAACCCATGGCACCAGAACAGTCTCCCTATGCTATGACATAGTATAGTGGCTTTTGTTTTTGTTTTGTTTTTTTAAAAACATGGTCTTGCTATGCAGGCCAGGGTAGCTTTAAATTCATGCTCTTTCTGCCTCTGCCTCCCCAGCGCTGTGATTACAGCTGTGCACCACCATGCCTAGTTCTCACATTTGTTTGTTTTTAAAGATGAGGTCTCACTATATAGGCCTGCCTTGCCTGAAACTCCAATGTAGACCAGACTGGCCTGGAATTCAGAGTTTTATCTGCCTCTGCCTCTTGAGTGTTGGGGCGAAAGGCATGTTCCACCATACCTAGCAGGGTTTTATTTTGTTCTTTTGTTTTTGTTATATTTTGCTTTTTCAAGGCAGGATTTCTCTGTGTAACAGCCCTAGCTGCCCTGGAACTCATTCTGTAGATCAAGCTGTAGATCCTCCTGCCTCTGCCTCCTGAGTGCAGGGATTAAAAAGGGTACACTAGCACCACCTGGCTGGCAGTTGCTGTTTTAATACTTATGTATTTTGATGTGTCTGACTGTTTTGCCTGCCTATATGTACATGTATCATGCGTGTAGCTGGTACTCACAGAAGGCAGAAGTGGGCATTGGATATTGTTGACTTGGAGTTAGAGCTAGATATAAGTTGTCATGTGGGTGCTGGGAACTGAAAGCAGGCCTTCTGCAAGAGCACCAAGTACTCTTAACTCCTGAGCCATTTCTCCAGTACCCGGTACACTCTTTAAGTTTTCAAGTCAAGTGCATATCCGTGTAGAAGAGAATACTTTATTAGAGGAGAGTTTACAAAGGTTTCAAACTAAGAAAATACCTGTAGTCCAGAAGGCGTTCCATGAGGCGGGTGACTGAGGTAACAAAGGAAATGCCAGTCTCACGCCATGTTTCCTGTTCAACCTTCTCCAGAAGGCTGTTGGGAGAAGAGAACATAATTCATGAGCCTTCCCTGGTGACAACAGTGAGGGCCAAGAACCTGTGGAGGCTGTGAGACATCTGGAGACAGGAGACTTGCCACACTGTAGTCTTACCTGGGGTAGGGCCCAAACAGCTGGGTTCTACTCCATGCAGCAGAAAGCAAAGACAAGGATATTATTGAAGTGGCAGCAACAAATAAACATATCTCCCATTTCCCTGTTCATGTTCCTAAAGATATCACTGAGGTAGAGGTGAGAGGCATATGCTGTAAGGTCTATTCTAAGGAACACATGAGCTAAGAGACATGGTGAGATGCATAACTGTGTCTATTGCTCAGAGTCATTTTCAGTAAACACATAAAACTACCTCTTCTCATAAATCAAAGATTCCCACAAGCCTCAGGGGCCCAATATGAGGGACAGAGAACAAATTCGGGAGCTATACTCTGCCATCACCTTGGTCAAGGGAAGCTTCCAAAAAACACGTGATAAAGACAAAAGCTTAATGGACAGGTCATTTAAAAAATCGGATAACATCATACTTCTGTCATTCTGAGGCAGCTTTTGGTTTGTCCAAGAATACTCAAACTCCCTGGCTTTAAGGTAGGCTGACATCCCATATGTGTCTTCCAGGAGGGGATGACCTGCATTGTTTCCTCTTGCTCTAGTAAGGCACTTAGGTCTGGATCTCACCCCACACAACTCTATCTATGATTCCTTAAGAGCACATTTCTCTTTCTGTCTTCTGAAGAGTTATCTTGAGTTGGCTGACCAAGGACTGGGGACCAGACCTGGGGACGCAAACAGCTTGACTGCTGTTACACCTTTTGTCTACATTCACTGCTCCCTGTACAGAACAGATACCTGGGCCAGAGGCTCAGGGAAAGAGAGGCTTTCTGTGATCACGTTGCTCTAGCATTAACTTGTGTGGACAGGACACTGCACTACTTCCTAACTGTTCCCTGGACATTGGGAAGAGGTGCTCTATGAGCACACAAGCATGGGAAGTGCTGATTACTACCTTGCTCCTTTAACTGAATCTTTTCTAAATTAGTCTACACATATTTTTATCACCGCAAAACCTACAAACATCACCCCAAGTTAAAACTATGAAAGGCTGCTCCATGATATCAGCAGATCTCAAACTGACTTTAAAAGTATTTACAAACACAATTTGGAGAGGTAATTAGTTAATTGTGAGCTATAGCCAGATCATTTTATAAAAAAGGAAAATGGCCTAGAGAGTTGTGTGGCTTATTCAATAACCTGGGCAGTGTTTATCAAGCTGCAATATTTCCTGGAAGAGAATGCATAATTTGCCTCCCAGAAATTCCAGAACTGAACCCTAAACTGAATAGTCCCTAGGGCTATTCGTCCGCCAGGATGCAGGGAATGCTATGAAGCTATACAATGGCGTCTAGTAGCAAACCCAGGAGCTGAAATTATTCATGGCTTCATCCATCTTCAGTTAACCATAACAATCCCTAAGAGTGCTTTCTTTCTTCTTTTTTTTGGTTTTGTGTTTTTCGAGACAAGGTTTCTCTGTGTGTAGCCTTGGCTGTCCTGAAACTTGGTCTGCAGACCAGGCTTGGCCTCAAACTCACAGAGATCTCTGCCTTCCTTCCATGTGCTGGGATTAAAGCCACCAACACCAGGTTAACACCACCCCCACACAGTGAGCCCAGTACCACTGAGCTAAACTCCCAACCCCACTTGATTTCTTATAGATAGAGAGTGACTACTGCCACCACCAGAGAAAATAACTGGGTCTCTCCTGGCACCCAGCCTCTGAAGTCTACCCAGTGAAGGCCTCGTCTCTACCATTCACTGGCCCACACTGCCCCTTCTCCCAACATGGGGCTTTTGGGGAAGGAGCAGCTTACAGCAGGCTGAAGAGTTCCCGGTAGCTCTCATCACCTTTCCCTTCTGACACCATGCTGTCCAGTTTGTCAATCAGCTCAGCCTCCACCTAGAAGGAAGCAGAGACTTCATAAGCTCAAATAAGCTCAGAGAGAGAAGGAAAATTTCCAGTCTCATGCCTACGTAAGGATCATGGAAAACTATTATATANTTAGCTGACAGTTCTAAAAGCTATGTCAGTTCTGGTCTTATTCAATTAATCGACAATCAATATTTATAGTTGCACGTATTCAACAAAAGTTAACATAGCATGATGCAGAGAGAAGAAAAGAAAGGGACTTGAGCTACCCACACCTATAATTTAATGAGTTTTCTAAGCAGATGACGGAATGATTTTCACTAGCTAAGCACAGCTAAACGTTAAGTTTTGTAGTTCCATAAATGGCATCTGAGCACTGTTTTAATAAATTTTACAACATGTGCAGGGTTAATGAATCAATATTTAGACAACAGAATATACATTTCTAATTTGAAAGCAGCTGCTTTTCATTAAGGCTTCTTGGGGAGTCTACTGACCACACACAAGGGCCGTGAACGGTGCTTTAGTGCCACCTGCTGGTCTCCAGGGGTATAATTGGCACTTCTTGCTAGTGTGTATTTCCAAATCTTTTTCTTAAAAATAGAAACAACAAACTCAAAACTAAAAATACCTGTCTTAAAAGTAAAATATTTACGTGGGTGTTGTGGAAAATGCTTTTAATCTCAGATCTTGGGAAGGGGAGGCAAGAGGATCAGGAATTCAAAGCCAGCCTGGACTATATAAGAGTCAGTGAGGTTTGTTTGTTTGTTTGATTGGTTTTGTTTGAAGTAAAATATTCCAAACCTTGGGAAAGGATTTTCTTTGGCTTTTCCATTTTCAAATCATTTTATTTATATTAGAAAAGTCCCACAATAATAAGGGATCCGAGCTATTAAAATTGATACCGCTGGGCTCTATTGTTAATATCTTTTTTCTATTGCTTCTAATGCTATTATATTTTGAAATATGAACTATTATATTATTTTTACCATTTTAAAACACTTTTTTCAAGTTCTAGATCCCTAGTCAACTAGTTTAAAAATAGTCTAAAAAGTAAATTTGAGTGACAAGACTATCTAGGTGCTCAGATTCACAGTAACAGTGAGTTTACTTTGCTAATGATATTCCTCCTCCTCTTTCCCTTTCCCCTCCCCTCCCTTCCTCTTCTTTCTTCTTCTTCTTCCCTCCTTTCTCTTCTCTTCCTTCCTCTTTTTCTCCCATCCCTTCCCTTCTATTTCTTTCCCTTTCCTTTGTTATAGTCTCATGTTTAGTCTCATGAAGCCCAGCATGGCCGTAAACCTGCAGTGTAGCTGAGGGAGACCCTGAACTCCCGCCCCCTCTGCCTTGTCTTCTGGATTACCCGTGTGTGTTGCTGTGCCCAGCTAACTAATTTCTTTTTTCAACAAGAGATAAACTTGAGTAGGTAAAAAACGTGTCTGAGGCCAAGCCTGAAAGCCTGTGTTCTGCCTTCTCAGCAAATACTGGCTCACACACACACGCATGTACATTCACACATACATGTAACAGGCCCCAGACTTTAGCACAGCTGTATCATGATGGTAGTACCATTCAGACTGTAAAACTCAACACTTAGACACCACCACCTGCCAACTAAGACAAAGACCTAATCCATCAAAGTCCATAGAGTTCTGGGAGAGTCTCTAATATACTAACCTTGACTTTTAGCTTCTGTAGTTCCACTTCTGGATAACTGTTCTTGTTAACTGAAGTATGTCAATCCAGCACATGGTTTTTGTGCTTAAAAGCTCACCCCAAGAAAGGCTTAGCACTGCACTGGGAGCCCAAACACCTAGTGTAGTCACCAGCCAGCTAATTCAGATTTTCTACCGGTGTAAGCCTATGTCTGAGCAGTCTTCTCTGGTGAATACCCCACAATAATACACTCACACAATACACACACATGTAACTCCCACCTGCCAGTTCCCGAATAAACACTCCGAGACTTAATATTAATTACAAATCATTTGTCCTATTAGCTCAGGCTTATTAACTAGCTCTTACAATTTAAATTAACCCATTTTTATTATTCTATATTTTACCATGAGGCTTGTGGCTTGCTACCTCAAATCATGCTTCCCCAGTGACTGCTGGCATCTTCCTGACTCTGACTTCTTTTCTCCCTCTCTGCTTGGATTCCCCACATGGCTCTATTCTGCACGGCTATTGGCTAAATCAGATTCTTTATTAACCAATGGTAATAAAACATATTACAGCATACAGAAGGGCATCCCACATCTCTCTCTCTCTCTCTCTCTCTCTCTCTCTCTCTCTCTCTCTCTCTCTCTCTCTCTCTCTCTCTCGCCTTGATTGTCATAGATCTACTCTGTAGACCAGGGTGGTCTTGGATTCACAGAGATCCATTTGCTTCTGCCTCCTGAGTGCTGGGATTAAAAGTGTGTGCCACCACCACCCAGCTGTTTATATATTTTTTTAATTTTATAATTTTGTGTGTGATTGGGATTTATAGGTAGAGGTTAGAGAACAACCTGCAAAGAGTCAGTTCTCTCCTACTGTGTGGGTCCTGGAAACCTTTAGACTATCTGAGCCATTCTACTGGCTTCAAATATCTCTTGGTTTTAAATATCCATTCAAGCTTTAGTTCCAGCACTTGGGAGTTAGAGGCAGTAATATTTTTGTGAGAGTTCCAGTCCAGCTTGTTCTACAAAGGAAGTTCCAGGATAGCCAGGACTATACAAAGAAACCTTGTCTCAAAAAAGCAGGCAAGCAAGCAAACAAACCAAAATTCACTCAAAGTAATTTATATAGACTATATCTACAGATCTGGAGAATAGGGACACAACTGAGGGATCCAGTAACCCAGTGCAGGGCCCAGTCACAGGGCACTGACAAAAAGTGAAGCCTTTTATCCTGAAAGTTTTTTGAAGGAAATAAAGCTCATTCAAACTCAAATAATGTCAACCTCAGTAGAACAAGGGTGAACTATGCAACAAGCTTCTTTCCTTGACTGGAAGACCATAGGAATGAATTATAACTAAAAATAGTCTGATGAGTCTAGAAGCCAACATTTCTCACTCCTAATCCAGAGCCATGTTTAACTCTAATTCAGTGAGGTGGCTACAAACTCCCTATGAAAATGGCCTGATACCAACAATTAATCTCTTTTCATATAGAGAGGTAGTATGGGCTAGAACAGAGCAAAAGCAGGGAGGAAGCCTAAAGCAGCAGAGAAACAAAGGGTACCAATATGCTTCAGCGGTCCATTGGGGTCCAAAATGTTTGTAGACTGGGTCCCTGGGTCAGTAGTTTTAATTTTACCGCAGATCTTGTTAAAAATCCAGTATTTACATCTGTCTAAATCCAAAGGTCTAGAAACTCGGGGGGGGGGTGACAGTCCACAAATTTGTTATAAGAAGCCTTAGATACATTCACCTATTAAAAGTTCTGTATCAGGCAACAAAACTAATGACAGAAGGAGATATTATTATCTCCGCAGAACTGATAGGGACACTTTGCTCTCCATTTGACAATCATCCTGAGACATAACAAGCTACAGAGTTCTGGATATATACCTTTCCAAATTCGGATCTCCTTATCTGTGACATAGTTGTCGTGGTAACATTCCTTTATAGTGTCACTATGTCCTGGTTTTTGGGAAATGCTCAATAATATTAGTTTTTATTGTTATCCTCACAACCCACCATGTGCCAAGGGCCACAGTGAGCTCTGAGAAATAAAATGCACAATCATTCTGGTTCCTGGGGCCCTATCATTTAGTAAGTGGGACAGAGGCAATGGCAACTAGAGTTCAGCACGGTAAGGCTCAGATACAGCTCACACAGAAACACTAGTCTGAGTTTTGAGATCTCAACAAAGAGCCAAGTTTCAAGAAATAGTGCTATAAAAACTTAATTGTTTTTACTCTTTGTGATGGTTCATTTTTTACATGAACTAGAATTATTTGGGAAGTGGGACCTCAAATGAGAAAATGACTCCATCAGATTGGCCTGTAGGCAAATCTTGGGGCCATTTTCTTAAGACTGATGTGGGAAAGTTCACTATATGCAGTGTCATCCCCGAGTATCCTAGGCTGTATAAGAAAGCAAGCTGAGGTCCTTGGATGTGTAAGAAAGCAAACTGAGCAAGTCCTGGGGGTAAAAGCCAGTAAGCAGGACCCCTCCATGATCTCTGATTCAGTTCCTGCCTTGCTTCATTGAGTTCCTACCTTGGCTTCCTCCAGTGATGGACTATGATTAGAATGTATAAATCCAGTGATGGACTATGATTAGAATGTATAAATCAAAACCACTCTTTCCAAGATGCCTCTGATCAATGTATCTTTAGTACAGCAATAGGAAGCAAACTAAGATATTCTTTGACACAGTGATCCTAGGTTGAGAAATCTACCTAAGAAAAGAACAGAGGAGGAGTAAAGTGGTAAAGTGCTTGCTGTGCAAGCATGATGCTCTGAGATCCACTCCAGAACTATGTAAAGAGCTGGGTGAGGTGGAGAACAATGGCAGTCACTGGGGCTTCCTTGCTGGCCAGCTGAGACTATTCAGTGAGCTCCAGGTCAGTGAGATTTCTTACTTTGTCTCTAATCAACCAACCAACCAACCAACCAACCAACCAACCAACCAACCAACCAACCAACCAAGGTGTATATGGCTCCTGAGGAATCACATTTGAAGTTGACCTCTGGTTTCCACATGGATGTGTGCCCACCTGACATGCATTTAAATATACTCACACAAAGGAAAATGGAATAGATGCTTTTGACAATTTTAACCACAAAAATTTGAAATGAATCTAAGTTATTAAGAACTTGACTAAATACACTATAGTAGAAGAACTCTAAAGATATAGCAGGGTACAGAGGAACAGTAAGTGACACAGAGGCAGTCATGGCAAGTTGTTGCCAACACTGGAAATTACACAACAATATATTCAACCATTCCCTTTATGAAAATAGAAATCTATGTGTAGGGTGTAGTCCTAATGGGGACCATTGCTACTCATCTCATATGCTTTTGGTTTTGTTCTAACTCTCTAAAACTTCAGCTAAGGTATAAATTTTACCTTGAGATCTGTAAAAATATTGGGTAAGGTTACAAATCTGAAAAATCTGTAACACTGGGGTTGATAGTTAAAAATCTGTACTCAGGTAATCTTAAAGGAACCATACGGCTTGATGCCATTTTGGGATAATCAACCAAGGAGGAAACAACTCCTCCAAGCCATGAAGCCCAAACCAGATGGCTTCTCCACTATTTTCTATTATAGTAGTGAACCTCCCGCTTGTCAACTTCAACCAGCAGTCCCTTCTCTTTCTTTCCCTCTCTGGTTTCCCTTTATCCTCAGCGTCAGGCTGCCCACCAAATCAGGGCTGAGTGTGTGGTGTTTAAACAGAGTACTCAACCTTCATGTATAAGGCCTTGCTCTATGTTAACCAACTGGGCATCTAATTTATTATCCAATCCTATAACATTACTTTTCATGATGTTTATATGATTCTTGCCAACAATCTTTTCACAGAGGAGTGCAGGCTAGTCTGGGACCAGCCTAGGATCCATGTAGAAGAAATCAACCAAGCTGATGACACCCACCCAGAATTACAATACTCCAGGGATCCTAGCTAGGAATAGATTTTTAACTTTCCTCCTGACTGATCTCCACAAGTCTGCCCTTAAGGTAGTAAATTATAAAAAAAATCCAAGAGGTAAAAATAAAAATCCAAGAGGTCATACAGGACAAACACAAAGCCCACCTTACAAAGATCTCTTATAATATACCAATCTGGATCTCTGATGGGAAGCAATTCCTTATGACCTACTTCTTATCCCAAAGGTAGGGCCAAACTTAAAAATCTAGAGAGAGGACCCCTGATTCCACAGACCAAAGACTCTGCCCTGGAAGAGATGAAAAAGTTCCAAACCAAAAATACCTGGTGCTAGCAAAGTCCTTTTGCCTGGCCACAGCAACTGCCGAGGCTTTTTGGTCTCTTTAAAGCCTGAGTGATGTGGGATTCCCCTTTGTATGTTGTGACTATCATTGGTTAATAAAGAAACTGTCTTGGGCCTGCACAGAGAAGAATAGCAGTGGGTGGGGAAAACAAAACTGAATGCTGGGAAAAAGGAGGTGGAGTGAGAGAGAAGTCATGGAGCCACCACTGGAGACAGATGCACTGAAACTTTGCTGGTAGGCCACGACCTCGTGGTGATGCACAGATTAATAGAGATAGATTAAATTAAGATGTAAAAGCTAGCCAATAAGAAGCTAGAGCTAATGGGCCAAACAGTGATTTAAATAATATAGTTTCTGTGTGATTATTTCGGGAGTCTGGGTAGCTGGTAAAACAAACAAGCAGCCTCCTACAACACCTGAGAATCTCTGCATTGCTGTTTCAAACACGGTCAGGAGGGTCACTGGGCCCAGGCCTGTCTGAACCCATATAACCTATCCTAACCATGTTCACAGTGCCATCAAGAAGGGTATTGGTGTGTTGACTGCCCCCATGTACCTCACAGTATGAGGACATTAATCCAGATTGCCCTTTATATGACCTCCTTGTTCTGGCCATGAGTAACTCAGGGGCTGGGCTCCCTTGGCCTGACCACCACCATCTCTGAAAGGGAATCTTGGTTAGTCATCATAGTGATCTATCTCCTTCCTTCTGGACAGCAGGCCCATTCTTTAGTCCTGATGAAGTTCTGGGGACCCATCTCTCTTTCTCATTTCTCTATTGTTGGAGTAGGGGACAATCTTACCAGGTTCTGATGTGGAATTCCCCTCTGTATGCTGTGAATACCATTGGTTAATAAAAGACTGCTTTGGGCCTGTGCAGGGCAGAATATAGGTAGGCAGGGAAAAACTAAGCTGAATGCTGGGAGGAAGAAGGGCAGAGTCAGAGAGAAACCATGGAGCCACCACCAGAGACAGAAGAGCTGAAACTTTGCTGGTAGGCAACGACCTCGTGGTAATGCATAGTTTAATGGAGATGGTTAAACTAAGATATAAGAACCAATAAGAAGCTAGAGCTAACGGGTCAAACAGTGATTTTCTGTGTGATTATTTTGAGTCTAAGCTAGCCGGGCTGCTGGGAAGAACAAGAGGCCTCCTGCAACAAGGCTCATGAAACCAAACCATTTAGTTGTATCTTTAAAAGTATCCCCCTAACCTATTCCTTCCTAGTGGTACTAACCTGCTCTAACCCTTTGATGCAAAGGGACCTCCCAGCCAAAGTAGGTGCCTCTATTTCTTTTGTTCCCCTCATCTGCTTGACCCCAGGCTCACTAGCTTTTCCCCTCCTCTTTTTCCTCCACATGATCTGACACACCCTTTCTCTTAGCAGCCTCTCAGGTAGATCCCTGGGTATGGGACACTCAAACCCCTCTACAGTCAAACATCAGCCCCTCACATCATCAACTACAAAGCCTCACCAAATATATAACTCAGATTCAACACCCACTTTCTCTCCAAAGCCTTAGTGGATTTAAGCCCCTTATCTCTTACCTCTTAAAAAAGAATCTTCTGCTTCCCATTTTTCTTTTTAATATCCCCATACTAGCAGTTAAAACCAATGGAACCTGCCATTTGGTTCAGGATCTCCAACTTACCAACTCAGAAGTAGTTCCCCTTCACCCCATAGGACCCATGAAATTCTTAACATTTCAAAATGACTCAAATTGCTGATTTAACTCTTGATGTGTGCAGATCATTTGTTTCTGCTGGCTTCCGCTACCCATCATATTTAGTTCCAAATTCTTCAGCTGCTTCTTCCCTCCACCTTTTCTAACCATCCATCTCTTCTTGCTTACTTGTCCTCTCTGGCTCCCGGAGCCTGCTATACCTTCCAGGGCCCCACTAAGTGGGCACCTCTCTATTTATTAAGATACTTTCTCTTCTTTCTCTATTAGAATCCTCCCTGTTTTGCGCTCTCTTCCCCTAGGAGTTGCTTAAGGCCCATGGCTAACCCTTCTTGGTCTCTGTGACCTTGTCATTCTTGTCTCTCAGCTCCCACTTGGAGCTTATAGCAGCTCCCTCCAGAGTTCATTTTTTGAACCTTCTTCTCTTCCTCCATGGGCTCCATTTCATTAAAGCCTCACTCTAGCCTCAACACAGTTCAAATGGCCAAAACTGGCATGCTCAATTTTCAATGATGATAGCTTCTGCCACTGCACAAACACATGATCCAAAAATCTTTCATATCTGTTGTTTCTCCTCTATGTCTTCTTATCTGCACCTGTCTGGGATAACGCATAGATGTTTATTGTGTGAGAGACCCTCACCCCTAACCAACATCCCATCCTAATATGGTCAGTAATGTGCTCTGTATCAGGCTGTTAAAGGCTGATCCAGTTTGCTATAACTCCTTTGTTCATCTCTCCTTCACTGGGGGCTTACCACTTATGCCTATTTTCTCTATTTTTGTATGATAATTCCTGCCCTGAAAACAAAAATCATAAAAAACAGGGTTTATGGTAGACTTTTAAAAACCATAATTGCTTAATAAGGTATTAAAGCTGCACCTCCATGTACTCATTTAGGAATGTACCCCGTGCTGGTGGCTGAACTTTTTTTAACACTTCAACCAGACCATTCTCATAGTGGGACAGCTCACAAGCAGGTTGTCAAAAGGAGATCCTCATCCCTGTAACACCAATCAGCTTCTAAGACAACTGTCCCCTATGCTTGCCTTTCCTATGATCTCTAGTTTTAGAGATTACTGCCAACGCTGGCCAGAAACTTAGGGAGGTTCTGAAAAGTCATCTGGTCTGGCTCCAGCCTTACAAATCCCTGGGTCACATGGTAGAGGAAGGACAGCATGCTCCCAGTACTCTTTTCTTAGGGAAACTAGGAGAGTTCAGTCTCTGTTGTTCTTTTCAGAGAGTTCTTAACATGTTTATCCCTTTCCTCTAATTCTATTGTTTGCTTATTTGTCTTTGAAAAAAGTTACTGCTATGTAGTCCAGGCATTAGTACTTGCTATGTAGTTCAGGCTGGCCTCAAACTCATAGCAATTTTCCTGAATGTTAGGATCTGGTGTCTAGCTTGATGATGAAAATTTGCATATCAATTGCTATCAGTGAGTCATATATAAACTCTAAAGCAGGATTTAAGATAGTTACTTCCTTATTAGAACCATGGCCAAGCCATTTGGACTACCTGCCTGATACAAATAGGTTAATTTCAGAGGAGAGGACAACAAACACTGAAGTTATCATTTTACCTGCTTGAAGTTGCCATTTTTCCTCTGTTCCCAGTCCATCATGTCATGAAAGATAGGAATCATGATATTCCGAACTTCTGGCTGTGGGACCAGTGTCACACCCAGAAAAGGACCGATCATTCCCGGAATAAAGTGGATCTTATGTTCACCTGATCAATAAAACCCAACAAATATTACTTCTTTCCTGCTTTGTTTCTTACATGGAAAATATGTAAGTGGGGTCAAGCACATATTACAATTTATAGTGGAGTTAGGAAACTAGGCTTAGTGGTGGTGCAGTGTTTGCCTAGCATGTGTGAGGTTTTGAGATAGATCTGAATTTTTCAGTACTGAAAAAGTCAAACTAACATACTCCACCTTCAATTGTTCATTTATACTAGAAATTTACAAGGGTAAAAGGTGATTTATTCTATGGTTTTTGAGATACTCCCTCAGCTTTTTAAATTTATTATTTTTAAAATCATTTAAAAACATTTATCATTTTATTTTATGTATATGAGTGTCTTACCTGAATGTATGCCTGTGTGCCATGTGGGTACCTGGCACTAGATACCAGATGGTATCACCTAATAACAGGTGCCAGAAAAAGGCATCTGATCTCCTGGGAAACAGAGTTAAAGAAGGTTGTGAACCATGATGTTGGTGCTTCGAGTCAAACCTGGGTCCTCTGGAAGAGCAGTCAGTGCTCTTAAGTGCTATGCCATCCCTCTACCTCACTCCCTCATTTTTTTAGAGTTTTAAATGAACTGGTCTAGTCAATTTGAAACATGTTCAAAGAGCACAAAATTGCTTTTCAAAAAATTTCCTGTAAAGTTTAATTAACTACCCTAAAACTTTCAGAGCAAGGAAACAGCTTACATTCTACAGATGAGTGATGTGCTAAGAGTTTCAGACATCTACAGCTTCTGTTTAGTAAGGGAGGTCGGCATGTTTCTGCTTAAACACTCTACTTCTAGAAGGCAATTCAATGATCAGGAAGCCCAGTCCAAGGTTAAGCTACCAAATGCCTGAAGTACATGGGTCCCTTAAAGGCCCACACCCATGTATGCTAAAACCCCTCTACCTAAGCTGCTAAGAGCTTACTGCATAGCTTCACCCCAATAGGCTGTCCTCCTGCCCATTCTTCACATTGTATTCTTTTGGTAGGAATATATCCACTCTGATCAGATCTGCTCACCCCACAACTTCCTTTATGAGGCCTTCTTATGGGAAGTGAAGTGAGTGATATAGCTTTTCCTCTGGTTGGTCTGTTCTCTAGGGAGTATCCGAGAACCTAGGGCCAGTCCTGAGGACTTTTGTTTGCAGTGGTGGAACAGAAAGAACCAACTTCAGATTTCCGTTTTTAGCCCTCCAGAGACTATAGAGGGAACTGTTTTCTGGCGTAGTAACTGCTACAGTCAAGGAAAGCTAGTTTTGGGGGACCAGAGAGAGACTGTTACTTCCTTCAAAAGCAATGAATGGCTTTATAAGACAAATCCAACAGCTAAAAATATTTGGCAGTATTGGGGGTTGAAACCAGGCTACTATCTTTGTTTCTTTCACTTTGGAAGCCTGTCTATGAAGTAAATGTTAGCTCTAAGATGCACTTTGCATACTCTGATCTTGGTACCTGGTATAGTTGTCAGTCTCTTCTGTTCCTAGGAATTTCAAAGTCAAGTTCAGTGTTGAAATATATATCCAAATTCTGTTGTGGGCAGGTATTAAGATGGATAAAACTAGAAGGACTATTTGGAAACACAACTCTACTGAGGGATGAAGAGTCCTATTGCTGTCTTACATTTTTTTTTAATTTTATATGCATGTGTGCTTTGTCTGCATGTATGTTAAGAGTACCATATACATGCTTAGTGCCTGCAGAGGTCAGAAGAGGGCATCAAATTCACTGGAAATGAAATTACAGGCGGTTGTGAGTCAGCATGTGGGAGCTGGGAATTGAACCCTGGTCCTCAAGAAGAGTAGCCAGTGCTTTTAACTGCTGAGTCATCTCTTTAGTGCCTTCTATTGCTCTTTTACACATTACTTTTTATCTTTAGATCAGGGTGAGGAAAGTTCACAGATGACCTTAAGATTCTATGACCACCATTCCTATGGCTTAAGAGGCACAAGCTTAGCTTATATTAAATTTCATTGGAAATAACTAATTTTTAAAAAATCTTCCTGACAGAAAACTCATATCCCTCTAGAATTCCGTGTGGCACAGCTCGTCATCTAGGCAACTTGAAGACTCTACCAGAAACACTGATATGACCATTTTAGATTCAAAGTAGTATCTATTAAAGGTGTTCAAAGAAAAAGCCAAAAGTCAATCTCATCTAAAGGCTCTAACTTTCATCTTTCATGATCTTTCATGTAAGTGGTATCAGACACATGATCTGGATGGATATGTCCAAAATTTATTTTGATCTTATATTAAAATCAATACTTGTCCTTGTTTTCATGTTGTGCTGTGGGATAATGCTTTTGAACCCTGTAAAGAATTGTCACTCACACTGGTTTAATAAAATGTTGATTGGCCAGTAGCCAGGCAGGAATACAGGTGGGGCGACCAGACTAGGAGAATTCTGGGAAGAGGAAAGGCTCAGTCTACAGTTGCCACCCAGACCCAGAGGAAGCAAGATGAGAATGCTGCACTGATAAAAGGTACCAAGCCACGTAGCTAACATAGATAAAAATTATGCTTTAAGTTTTAAGAGCTAGTTAATAATAAGCCAGAGCAATAGGTCAAACAGTTTGTAACTAATATAAGCCTCTGTGTGTTTCTTAGGAACTGAATGACTGCGGGACTTGGCAGGACAGAAACTTCTGTTGACAATGCTGTCTCCATGATCTACCCTCCTAAGCCTGTAATGAGTAGTACAGAGGCTCTAACAGGATGGATTCCCAAACTGGAAAAAACAACTGCGTCTTCCTTTTACTCCTTAAATTTCTGATCTTAAAATGGAGTGCACATGTCATACTAGGATCTCTTAGCCAAATTCTCCCTGCCAAGGAGGGCTTTATATACATATGCTACATTACATTATTCATCTGAGGTGCTATGTTAAAGCTGTGTGAGGATCTTTGGGGTATGAAGTGATATTCAGAAAGCTGTGGAGAATTATTAGTTCTTGTACTTTTTTATTTACCTATGCAGTATATGAAAGAAAGAATCAGTAGAAAAGACCTACCAAGATTCTGCCACATGCTGAACAGTTCATATGCCATCATCACACGCATGTCTCCATACCTGAAAATAGTAACACAGAGCCAACTGTTAATGGAGAGAGACAGGCCTGAAGATTGAATAAGGTCAGAACATCAGCACTGTTATTTCTAATGCTCTCAAAATGCTAAGCCATTTGGTTATTGACTGAACTTTTCATACTTGGCTCCTTGAAAAACCACCCATATGAGAAACTTCTGGACTTCTGAAAGAATCTGTTATAGAAAAATAGTTCCATCTGGGCAAGTAGTAGAGAGATGAACAGAAGACATCTGTCTTACTTATCTAGAATCTTCTTCCTCTTGGCTGAAGTAATGATTTCTAGCTGAAGACTTGGCTGGTTTATGAACAGAACTGCCAGGCTAAAATAAGAATTCCACACCTAGAAAGACAGAAAAAGAATTATGTGATTGCCTAAGTCCTTAACCTTGCAGGGGGAAGTAACTAAATACATGCTTGTATTACAGAGTCCATTTTACAATCATAAATTCTTAAGAACTTTTTTCCTTTTAACTATCTGTAGAAATAGGCTTTTCCCAATTTTTGCTTTCTTGATTCTTTCTGAAGCCAACAACAGGCATCTTTATAGATGCCTGGCTCCCAATATTTCTACCAGGGGGGCTTTCAGATCACATTACAATAGCCATCAGCCTAGGAATCTATGGTACTATGAATACATTACTAAAGCAAAAAGGAGTGAATATGGACTTTAGTTTTCTAGGGTTATTGTGACAATGATGCATTTTAGGGGCTCCTACCTTGAAGTCAAAGTCTGTCTCTGTGAAATTCTTGTGCAGTGCAGAGGACAGGTACTGGACAGTAGTGACTATAATACTGCAGTGAGGAAACAAGGCATTGGGAGAATTAAAAGACCAACAGTGGCAGAGCCTAGCATCTGTTGTCTGCTTGTAGGCAAACGTCTTGAAGACAATGTGCTCTTATATAAGATGTGGCTTTAGAGGAAAGAGAAAATGGATCCACTCTACAGAAAACCGGTTTCATAGAAATTCCTCTTAGAAGGTGAGATAGCACAGAATGCCAGTGGGTCACTGACAACTCTTCTAAGTCTTGTTGTTCTTTAAGATTTCTTCTAGCTCAAAAAGTAAATTTTTTTAAACTGGGGATCTTTGGATAACAACATGGATTATAATCACTTTGTAGGATTTAGAGCATAAGTTTATTATTTTACCAGAGAATAGGAGTTAACAGTGATTAAACAGTTCCTTTTGTCTTGTACTGTCTCACTGGGCTTCAGCCTTTAGAACAGAATATCACTAGAATATCAGGTTTAATCTTAGCCTGGAACATACCAAGAGTAGAAATAGGAAGTTAGTCTATGAGAATTAAGACCATGAGTTGAGGTGTAAATGAAGGGAAATGTTCTGTTAAGGGAAGGGAAGTTAAAGGGTTTTCTTAAAGAGGCCTTGGCTATGTGGCAAAGAAATTATGCTTAAGAGCGGCCACCTGATCTACCAGACAAGTATAGACGAAAAGAGCACGGGGGACACCAAGAAAACAAGGCTTTCTAAACCAACATTTTCAAAGCTCATACATGAACTCACAGAGACTGAGGCAGCATGCACAGGGCCTCCACGGCCTGTAGACCCTACATGGGTCTACACCAGGTCCTGTGCACATATATTATGGCTTCCAGTTTAGTGTTTTTAATGGGATTCCTGAATGTGTGAACAAGTGAGTTTCTGATTCCTGTGCCTTCTTTTGGGCTTTTTTCCTTTTAATGGTTTTCCTTCTGTTCATCATATCTGACCAACTCTAGTGTAATAGTTTTGTTTTATCTTATTATATTTTACTATTATCTCCTAGAAGCCTGTCCTTTTCTAATGAGAGACAGAAAGAGAATGAATTGGGATGGGAGGGGAAGTGGGGCGGAACCGAGAGGAGTAGAGGGAGGGGAAAACAATCATGACACATTATGTGAAAATAACAATCTATTTTCAATAAAAGTGACCATATGGGTCTTAATACAGAAGCAAAATAGTATATAAAAGAGACTAGACTTCCAGCAGAGCAGGTGCAAGGGTACGGATGAAAGAAAGACTACCCCTGCAGGACAGGTTGCAAAAGATAAAGTTCTTTAAGTGTAACTAAGAGATATAAATAAGAAGGATCTAGATAGAAAAACCACTATTTGAGGAAATATATGTGCAACTTCCTATCATTCTTTTGTTTTGGACAAAACATTTGCAGGTTTTAAGGAAAAAAGGCCCTATGAAGAGCTCATTTTGAAAAAAACTCACATTGCTTTGCTAAGATACGTAACAAGTAAGTTGAATGCATTCTATACAATGCCAACATAAAAGACAGAGCAGTGAAAGAAGGCAGTAGGCTAAATAGTGAAGACCAAGTAATCTACAGTAGACACAGAGAGAATGAACAAACGTCTTACTACATGTATCACTTGTCTAGTTTGCCAAGAGGAAGCACAGGTAAGAAATATGAGTGGGGCAGACATGTTAAGACAGTTTTAGCATCCCATCTATATTGCCAAAGCTCTACAGTGCTAAGAGCTTTACAGCCAAGGCTTAGGTGGAGAGTTAGCATTAGGAGGCAAGTACTGTCTGGCAGACAATACAACTCAGATCAGGAGGGGATCTTGGAATGCTGCCTAAAGCTGCAGAGCAACAGAGGCTAATGGCTCTTTCTTAATATTGTATTTCCCATCTTTAACATGTCTTTTTCTATCCACACTTCTGTAGATTCTGCTTTTTGAATTATCTTTGATTCTTTTCTTTCATTGTCTCTATGGCCAGTGGGCAAATCTTGTGGATTCTATCTCCAAACATTTCATATTTGTCAACTTCTCTCTTCCTCGTCTTGGTCTTTATCTTCCTCTCACTTACATATACATATTAACCCCCAGCTTGACTTAAAGCTCTATGGATGCCAGTACAGGCCTTTCCTTACTTGCTTGTCAAGAGTCTCATCACCATCCAGTCTCGAGGGAAGACACTCATCTTCATTAGGTTTCTGAACACACAGAAAATCTTCAGCAGAAATTCCTAACCACAGAAGAGAAACAATATAAGACAATGCTACTACTGCTGTCCCAAGTTCCTCAGGTGGCCCTTTCTGAAATTTCTGCTAGGAGAATATATGGTACTAGTGGGTTAGATGTGGTTCCCTCTCTGAGTTGCTTGTCTCTTACAGGTTATGTGAGAATGAATTCAGGACATTCTTCCAGACTATATGGGAAGAGAGTCAAATTTGGCAGACCCAAGACAGCTTTACATCAACTCTAGATCCATACCTAAATCTTAAAGCCCAGGGCAGACTAGCACCCTGCAGAACTGTCAGACTGAGTCCAAGGATATCATCACTCTGTAAGCAAAAGTAGAGTCTCAATCAAGCATTTGATAGTAAGAACATGCTTTTTTGAATATTAGGAACACTTTGATTGTTAAGAAAAACACTTTATGAATGGGAGTGTAAAAATCCAAAAATTTATGGGGCTGAAGTCAATGGTAGAAGGTATACTTAGCATACCCAACAGCCCACGTTTAACTCCCAATACAACCCCCAAACAAAACCCTAAAACAAAACAAAGCAAAAACCTGTAATAAATCTGTGTCCATGAAAATAATGAGGTGAATAAGACTAATTAAACAATTGAGTATTACATAATCCAAGGAGAATGTACTATCTAGCTTTGTGAACATGACAGAGTCAGCTGGAAAGAAAGAACCTTAACGTAAGTATTGCTTCCATCAGATTGTCATGTGGGGAGTTTTTTTTTTTTAAATTAATGTTTGATGTGGGAGGGGACTATTCAGTTGTGGGTTGTGCCACCTCTGGGCTGGTCTTGGGTTACATAAGAAAGCAAACTGAGTAAGCCATGCAGAGTAAGCCATTAAGTGGCGCTTTTCCATGGTCTCCACTTTTAGTTCCTGCCTCCAGATTCCTGTCTTTAGTTTCTGCCTTTGCTTCCCAATGATGGGAATAATGACTGTAACCTGTAAGCTAAATAAACTCCCTCCTCTCCTAAGCTGGTTTTAGTTAGAATTTTATCACAATAACAAAAGCAAACAAGGACAAAAAGTTTAGTAAGGAAAAATGGATTAATCTCAGAAAATACCAAATTTTGTTACATTTCATGCTTCCCATTTATATTTTCTGTAATGATTGTTCTGTCTCTTTAAGAGACAAGTCATGCCCACTCCCTTCCTGCTTGCAGCCTCAGAGTCCCACTTTCTCTCTTCTTATCCCCTTTCCTTCTCTCCCCCTTTCTCTCTCTCTCTCTCTCTCTCTCTCTCTCTCTCTCTCTCTCTCTCTCTCCCCTCTTCTCCCTCTTTTCCTTTCCCTCCATAATCCACCTAATAAATGTCTAACTTTACTTTGTATGGTATGTTTATCCTTCTCTCTTGCCTGCTGGCGGCAGTCACACTGTCACGTGGAGAGCTGCCACATGGTCTTTGTGCTGCCCTGCTCGGGACTGGCTGCTTTTGGGACCCTGGCAGCTTGCAGCAAACCCATCTGCATGGTGTGCCTATCTGTCTGCCCCTTGCCCACCTGCCACCCACATGGCTAGCTGCTGGGGACTCCCAGGGGACCAGTCACCTTTGGAGACCTGCTGCGCGGTGTGCCCGGGGCCCTGCTCGGGACTGGCTGCTCTTGGGACCAGCAGCAAATCCATTTCACTTATTTTATTTAGTTTAACACTCAACTATAGAACTACAGCACCACAAAAAACAAAGAAGCCACTGGGTAAAATAGTTTTAGAGCCTCTAGAGAATTGTTATTATTTGACCTGTTCGGCAGCTCCTTGGACAGCCTATTGTCCAGGGCTTGTCTTTATTTAATTTAACTCAGAGCTTATCTAGCAATCCCCAGGACATCTGTTGAAAAAAGTCACTTAATTTAACATTCTAGATACATAACACATTCACACTAGTTGGAACAAAAGAGATCTGCCAAAAAGCTTCAAGGAAAATCTGATAATGAAGTATCTATAGGGACCTGTGAAAAGATTTGATATATTCCTTAGATTCTAGAAGGCCACACATGTGCTGGGCTGCTCATACTGCCAGAAAAAAACTCAAGAAGCTTAAATCTCTCCTCTCTGACTGAACATGAGGTTCTGTATAAACAGAACTCCAAAGACACAGAGCTAAAACATGCTGAATTACTAAAGGTGAGCCCAGGATACACACAGAGCCCTTAGCAAAACAGAGAGATCTATTGATTTTGAGAATCTAAGAACATAACTTTGTATTTGTTACATGATCATTAATTTAACTAATTGGAAACATCTGTGGACATTAACAATCTAAAATATAGACATTAAAGAATTAGTTCTGGAAAAATAAGTCAGTAATAAAACATTACAGCTGGTGGTGGTGCATGCCTTTAATCCCAGCACTCAAGAGGCAGAGGCAGGTGAATCTCTAAGTTGGAGGCCAGCCTGGTCTATACAGAGAGTTTCAGGATAGCCAGGGTCACACAGAAAAACCCTGCCTCAAAAAAAAAAAAACCCAACCAACCAACTACATAAACAAAAAAGCAGCAGCAGCAGCAACAACAACAACAGAAAAACACCAAAAGGGCAAAAAAAAAAAAAGATAAAAACATCATTACTAGCAAAAACAACAAAAACCCACAATGAACCCTGGGGTGGGAGTAATCTGATTGGCAGAGTTGTCACATTAGATAAAAGTCTAGTTTTTTCCCAGACATGTGGGATGGCACGATGAGAAACAAATCTAAGGTCACAGACATAGAAAAGGTAAAGAAAGAATTTCATTTTGATGGCATAGAAAACATTTTTGAAATAATAGTAGCAGAAAAAACCTGACAGATTTTAGTGAAAGAGATGCTAGCCCAGACACAGGAAAGACATTTAGAATATCAAACAGACAAGACCAGAAAAGAATGTTCCCTTGTCATATCATAATTAAACTATGAAATATACAGAACAAAGAATACACATTGAACATAGAGGAGAAACACTGAGCCATCTAGAAAGGAGCGTAGTTCTCTTGCTTTAGTATGAAAGTATCAAATCATTTCATCATTGTTTGTTGAGAACTCCTCTTTCTTCACTAAAATGTCTTAGCTTTCTAAGACTTTAAGATCCTCTCAGCCTCTGTGCCACAGTGCTTCCCCTCCTCCCCTGGGAACCAAGGACTTAACAGCTACACTCGCACGTACTCAGTTCCTGAACAATTACCCATATACGTAAGCTTTGGTTCGGTCCCCTGGGAAACGGGGTCAAAATGACCTCTTACCTCATCTGATCTGGCAACAGCTCTCCAGTCAATTATTGGTAATAGCCCTTTCGAATAAGCCAATCAGAATAGTCAAAGAACAACTCCCCTTGCTTCTGTGGCCCCTTTAAAAGTAGACTGTACCCGCTATTCGGGGTCCCTCGGCTTCCCGAATGCTGGGGGACCCTGTCATGACAGAATTAATAAAATCCTCATGCTTTTGCATCGGCTGTGGTGTGTGGTCTCTGGGGGCGACTCCTCGGTGTTTGGACGCCAGAGTCCAACAGCTTCACCACTGGAAATTAATAGTGTAAATATAAAGATTTATCCCTAAACTCTTTAGCTTAGTTTTACTGATTTATGTAACTATCTTTTTGCACGTATCAATTCTTTCTAAAGACAAAGTCTTACTGTGTGGCCCTGACTGGCTCAGCCTTGAACTCACAGAGATCCGCCTGCATCTGCCTCAAGTGCTGGGATTAAAGGACTGTGCCATCATGCCCCAGTTTGCCAGTGTCAATCTTGATTACTTGTTTCTTTGTAGGAAGTTCTGGAGTGGGTAAATGTTAATCTTCTGATATTGTACTTTTTCAGCAATCCCTTTCAATAAAAATTGCATCAGTCTCTGCAAAATGGAAGTGGATTTTTGATAGGGTTCGCATCAAAACTGAAGATTAATTTAGAAAGTATTCCCATGCTAATGTAAAAATTTCTAATCCATAAAAACATACATGAATTACTTTTCCATCTATTTGAGTTTTAATTTCTTTTCCTAATTATTTTATTCACCTTTATATAATACACATATATTTTTATATGTGTGGTATACATATGTGCACACCGGCCTTCTATTTTATAAGATGGAGTCTTCGACTGACTTAGAGAGATTGGCTGGGCAGTGAGTTCTGGGAATGCTTTGTCTCCACTTTCTTACCACCTGGACTATTGGCATACACCTATACCCAGCTTTATATGTGGGTGTTGGGAATCCAAATTCAGGTTCTCATACTGTGCAATAAGTATTTTGACTGAGCCATTATCTCAGCCCGGAATTATTTTTTCTACTTCAATTTTATCACTCCTCTTAAAATAAAACTAATGAAATACATAAAGTGAACTCTTGTACTTGGCACTCATGACAGCTATCACTTGTTGTGGAATAAAATATTTGTTTAACTATGTAAAGATGTGTTGCTGTTCTACCTTGTCTGTATAAGGCACATGATTGGTCTAATAAATAGCTGAATGGCAAACAGCTAGGCAGAGGAGGGATAGGCAAGTTGGCAGGCAGAGAAAAAAGGGGACCAGCTAGCCAGACTAGAGAAAGGAGGAAAGTAGGATGGACAGTATGCAAATGAGGTAAACGAGACTCAGCAGCACATAGACTAATGGAAATGGTTTAAATTTAAAAAGGGCTAGCTAGAAACAAGCCTAAGTTAAGGTTAAGAATTCATAATTAATAGTAAGTCGTTGTGTCATGATTTGGGCTGGCAGTCCAAGAAAACCTGTTCATCAGCACCAAGATCTCTATGTTGTCTTTCCTAAGCATTGTCCAAGCAAAACTATTGGCTGCCTCAATGCTGTTCACATGAGGTACCAAATTGAAAAGGGCGCCTGACACACTGGGGCTGGTATTAGGAAGAAAGATCAAAAAGCATGATATTGGCTGGGCGTGGTGGCACACTCCTTTAATACCAGCACTCAGAGGCAGATGAAGCTCTGTGAGTTTGAGGCCAGCCTGGTGTACAAAGCAGATGCTAGGACAGCCAGGATAGTTACACAGAAAAATCCTGCCTCGA